CGTGCACGTTCTTGTGTAGAGGAAGTGGATAAGTCAGGGCGAGGCACAGCTGCCTTTGGGCACTTAGAAAAAGGAGAAAAAGGTGCTGCTTCTTCAACAACCTCTGTGTCTATCTCTTCAAAAGATTGTCCTAATATTCTGATGTTGTTAGCCCCAAGCACTTAGTTGTCATCCACTGAAAAATTTTAATGAAAATAGATAATAAAAAGGATTTCTGTATTGAAAATTCTGGACTGAGCTTTTCATTATACTAAATTAAGTTTTTTTTCCTCTAAGAAATTTAATTTAGCCTTCAGTTTATTTATGATTTTCTGTTAATAGTTGTATACTTACGTTAAAAATATTTGATTTTGTTAAGATCATCTTGTAATTTATTTCAGGTGAAATTTTTATTCATTAATGAAGTGATATAACTTGATGTATTTTTGTATTTTGTATTTTGAATCATGTGACCCCAGAATATATAATTATATAAAAATATAAGGTTTAGTGAAAAAGTAAAACTCAAATCTGCATATTCAGTATTATTCTTTTTTTACTAAAATTTTATATGTACATAGATATTAATTTATACCTTTGTACCTATATTCATTAAATGATAGATGTTTACTTATATCTATGTATACTATATGTATATGTTATTATGTTATATGTACTTATACTCAGATTTTTTGTAAAATAATAAGTGTATGTCTGTGTAGGTTTGTAATCTTATATATGTGTATGTATGTTTTAGGAAAAAAGACTAGAAGGACTTAGACCTAATTGTATCTCTTAGTAATAGGATTTTGGATGATTTTTAAAATATTTTCTTTATAAGCTTTTGTATTTTTCCACTTTTTACAGTAATTATATATTATATTACATTGGCAGTAAATGTTTTAGCGTTGTTTCTTTAAGACTTTTTACTAAAGCTTTTTTTCTTTCCTTCATGAAAAGAGTTTTTCAGCTTATATCTTTAATGGATACCGGATTGCCTCGGTGTTCTAACGAGAAAATAGAGCTTGCAATTCTGTGGTTCTTGGATCAGTTTCGTAAGACATATGTTGGTGATCAACTTCAAAGGACCTCAAAGGTAGGTGTTTACTAGAGATTAAAAAAACTTCTTAAAGATGAAGAAAGATGTTCACATATAACAGCTTTGAGCTGGATGATATATTTGGGCAATTTCTACATGAGAAATTTAATTAATCAGTTGAAATCAATTGATTAATTGGTATCGAAGGCAATGTGAGATTAATTTGCTCATTTTATGCCTACATTTACCATTTTCTTTGAAGACTGATTGGCAGAGTTAGTGAATGTTTTTTATGTGACTAGTCATGAAATAGTTAAGATTATTTTAGACACTTTAATGGATTTTGCCTTATTGTATTGTAGTTCTAGGTTTCAAACATAGGATTTACTCTTCTAATAGTTTTGGGTTTTTTTTCTGGACACCTATCTATTTGTGTGGTTTCCAGGATGTTTTTCAGCATTTTTACATGATACATTATGACGACTAGGAAAGTTAGACTTGCCTTTGAGAGGCCACAGTTAAATCACCTTAATGTGGAGAACACTTGTCCTATGATAATCGAAAGTTTAGCATCGGCAAATGTAGATGACTTGATCCTGAGGCATAAAGAGGGATTTTGAGGGCATGTGTGTGACACCAGATATGTAGTAGTACTTGTGACACTAAGATCTGCGAGATTACTTCTTCTCCTGGAATAGTAACTCTTTCCAAAACCTTCTCCGTAAGAAGTCCTAAAGATATTCTTATCTCCTTTGGAGCAAGCTTTTTGCATTGAACTGAGCTTTTTTCCCCTCTGAGATATTTAGCTTAACTCTCAGTTCATTTCTGGTTTTCTATTAATAACAATTATAAAGTAGTGTGAGAAAATATTTTTTGACTCTGTTAAGATCATCCTTTAGTTTTTTTATTTTTTATTTTTTTACTTTTTAAGAAAGCGGTATAGCTCAATGCTTTCTTTGTCAAATATATCGTGATATTTTATTGCCATTTCTTTTTGTTCGTTGATATCAATAAAATTTTCTTAGAATTCAGCTGCTAGTGAATGAGACCATTAGGGAGAAAAAGGAGTGGCTAGGAATGTATTAGGTTGACACTAAGACAAATTAGAATCATAAAAATTACATGGTATGAAGTTTATACAGGGTGCCTCTTTTAAAATTCTACATGTGTTACTCAGAGATTGAGTATAAATCGAATTATGATTAATGGTCTTGTTTGAAATGTACCCAGAGAGTTGGTAATTTTGCTTTTGCAAAAGTGAACACTCTTAAAACATTACTAATTCAATATCCATTTGGTCTGAGTCTGAAATCAGAAAAGTATAATATGGAGTAGAAAAACCTTCAAATATTGTGTTTAAAAGTACTCGGAAATAAATATGTACAATAAGAGTAGTCGTTTTAGGGCAATGCAGTTTGGGAAATACACACACACACCCTACACATACCTTTTAATATAAGGTAATTGTGAAAAAAAGGGAATTATAGATCAGTTTTGGGTTTTTTTAAGAGCTTACTTATTACGGAAAAAATAAACACATCATAAGACTAGTGTTGATTCATTTATCAGAACTTTAACATTTTTGGTTTATGCATCTTACTCTATTTTCAAGGAGAGATTAAGCCTTAGATAATGTTATTTCTAAGACATTTCTACTCCGTAAGCCCAAAGTGAAGCTAAAACTTTCCGCTTTTCTTTTCTCTGGCTGGTCTGCCTACCTGTCTTAATAGGAACTCTTTCGGCGGGGGAGGGTCCTTACTGTATGCCCTGGCATTCTTCTCTGAAGGCTTCATGCTCTCTCTTGTTCTTATAACAAGCCTGAGAGGTCGATATTATCATTCCCATTTACAAATGAAAAAACAGACTATCTAAAACATTTGTAAGTTCTCTACGTATTATTTTTCTGGCAACTAGCTAAGGAAGACTAGATGGAAAATAACTTTTGGTTAATGTATTGTCTGATTCCAAATTGTGGCCAAAAAAAAAAAAAGGAGGGGGAGAGTGTGAGATAATAGTAAGCAAATAATAGTGTGCACTTATTTTGTACTAGGAACTGTACTCAGCACTCTGAAGCATTGTCTCATTTAATTGGATCATAGAGAGTATGGCTTACTAAGTTCTCAGTAGCTTTTCTACACGTTACCAGTTTCATGCTTCACATACTACATACTTCATGTAAACTTTTTTCAGCCCCTTTAACAGTCGGCGTTCTCTGTCAATTCTGGGCCTTTGAACAAAATATTTCCTCTGCCCAGGAACTATTTCTTTTCAATCCAACTTCCATGCCCGCCCCGCCTCCACCCCGCCTTACTCTGCTAACTCCTACTCATCGTGCACATCAGACACCCCATCCTTTAGGATGCCCTTTTAACTTAAATTCTTGGAGGGTTTCTTCTCTCTGTGTTCTATAGCACTATATGTTTCCTGTTTTATCACTGCTACATTGCATTGTAAACATTTGTTAACAAAACACATGTAGATTGTAATTCGGGTTAGGTCTATTTCCGCCTTTTTTATTACTTCCACCTCCCAAGTGCTTCACATACTGTTTGTATGCTTTCTACTAGATAATGGTTGCATGTATATATTTAGTAGGACTCCATAGGGTTTGGGTCTAGACCTCACGTACAATACTTTCAGGTAATAAAGGGGATGTTCTTGAGTTGGAAAATGATGCTGACTTTAGTGAAGTTGTTTGACAGCTTTAAATAAGGTTTACTATTAAGCATCTGGAAAATGTATAGAAGCCTGCATATGCAAAATAAGACAGTTTATAGAAATAAGTGTCTCAGGAACCAAGGGGAAAATATTGAAGAGACCTAAGTGATGTATAGAATTATGTCCTATAAGTGAAAAAGAAGAACCATAAGTATTAGCTATAGGCATTTATCGAACAGTAGTCTGTGCCAGAGACTTTGCGTAGCACTTGACAGGTATCTAATTTTATTTTACAAAAACTCCATGGAAATAGTTATTTTTATTAACACCCACCCCACCTCTTTTTACATATATGGAAACTGAGGTTCAGAATGATTGATTAATGTGTTTAACTAGTTGGACTTTATTTGAACCCAGGACACCTAATAACAGAGCCTGTGTTACTAACCATTTCGCTCTGTTGTCTCCTGTTGGATCTTTCACTGGGATAGAGTGGGGTCTTCAAACTCCATGGGTTCAAGAAAGGAACTGTCTTCTAAAATTCATTCCTATTTCAAAGAAGAATAACTTTGAACCCAAAATTACCACTTTGTTCTTACTTCTTATATCTAATCTGTCACTTAATCTTGCTGATATTTTCTAAATATCTCTCAGGTCCACTCTTTTCTCAGGCCTCTTCCTTTTTATCCTCAGCAAATCCAGTGAGAAATGACAAGAAGTGAGATACCATATCATACCAATTAGCTGGAGACAATTAAAAAGTCTGACAAAAGTAAGTATTTGTGAGGAAGTGAAAATAACGAACACTAGGGCAACCACCCAGAAAGTAATTAAAAACATACATAGTGAAAAAAAAAATCATTAAAGTTTAAATATGATACTATAAGGTGTTTACTTAGCGCAAAAGAAAGCAGTACAGGAGAGCTAGAGGAACGAAAAAGACATGAAAGGTTAAAAAAAAGGAAAATGGCTGACAAAACTCCAACAATAGCAATAATAACATTAAATGAATAATATAATCCAACGAATAGGCTGAGGTTGTTAGACTGAATTTAAACAGTGTCCAACATGGTATCTACAGAACACATATTTTAAATTCAAAGATATAAGTAGATTAAAACTAAAAGGATAGCAAAGGTATGTAGATAGCAACCGTAAAAAAGCTCAAGTCGCTATGCTAGTATCAGACAAAATAGCCTTTAAAACAAACAAAAACATGTCACTAGGAATAAAGACGGACATTTTATAATGATAAAAGGGTCAATCTTTTGAGGAAAATACAACAACTATAAATACATATATACTGAAGAACAAGGGTCCCAGATGCACAAGGCAAAACTGAGAGAAATAATAGTAGTAATAGTTGAAAACTATAATGTCCTAGTCTCAATAATGGATAGCACAACTAGGCAGGAGATCTATAAGGAAGTAATAGACTCAAACAGTATTATAAACCAACAAGACCACAGACAACTATAGAACACTTTATTCAGCAACAACAGAATTTACATTCTTAAAAACACAGAGAACATTGTTCAGGATAGAGAATATGTTTGACCATAAAACCTAACTCAATAAATTTAAAAGAATTGAAATAATAAAAAGTGTGTTCTCCAACCACAGTGTAATGAATAGACATCAATAACAGAAATTTGGGAAACTCAAATATGTGGAAATTAAACAATACACTTCTAAATAACCAGGGAATCAAAGAAGAAATCACAAGGGTAATTAGGAAATACTTCCAGGTGAAAGAAAATGAAGACAGCATGCCAAAATTTATAAGATTCAGCTAAAGCAATACTTATGAATAAATGTATAGCTGTAAATACCTACATTTAAAAAGAAAAATAAGAAGAAACTAAACCTAAGGCAAGTAGAAGGAAGGATATAATAAAGATCAGAGGAGAAATTAATGAAATAGAAGTTTAAACAATAGCAAAAATCAACAAAATCCAAACTTGGTTCTTTGTAAAGATAAACAAGATTGACAAACCTTTAGTTAAATTAACAGAGAAAGAGAAGACTCAAAGAATGAAAATCAGGAGTGAAATAGGTGACATTACTATCGATCTTGCAGAAGTAAAAAGGATTATAATGGAATATTATGAACAGTTGAATGCCAATAAGTTACACGACTTAGATGAAATGAAGTCCTAGAAAGACATAAACTACTAAAACTGATTCAAGAAATTATGGAAATCTGAACAGACAAACAACAATTAAAGAGACTGAATTAATAATCAAAAATTATCCACAAAGAAGAGCCCAAGAAGATGGCTTCCCTCGTAAATTCTACCAAATATTGAAATAATACCAATTCTTCATAAATGCTTTCAAAAAGTAGAAGAGTATCCTTCCTAACTCATTCTACAAGGCCAGTTAACCCGGATACCAGA